GTAACACAGACTCAGAAAAAAGAAACCAGTGACCTATGTTCTCCCTCATATGTGGATCCTAGCACCAAATCCTTATGAGTAAGTATGTATCCAGACATAACTACAGGAACCAGGATAATGAAAAGGAATCAGGGAGACAAAGGAAAAAAAAGAATCTGAAAGAGAAGACCAGTAGGAAACAGGTGTTAATAAGGGAGATATGGATAAAAACAGGGTTATTTTAATGGGATGGGAGAGGGAGGGTTATACAAGGAAACTTGGGGATAAAGAGAAAGGAGTTCAAGAGAGGTGGGACCATAGGATAAGGGTATTGTTAAGAGAGAAATGGGAAGGATAGGGGCACTTTAAATAGGGAAACCATAATGGAGGGGTTAGACAATAAGAGAGCTAAATAATCTAGTTTAGCTAGCTAGTTAGTTTTTAAAAAACAGAGGGAACCATATTAGTCCAACAACCTATTGACAATTTATACATACAACTAGCTCAAGGAGCAAAATGTATGTCTAGTCAAAGTTTATCTGAGAACGTTTGGTTTTTGCTCAAGCTTTATCTACGTAGTGCGTGGTAATTAAAAGTACCAGACTGATAGAAGTAACATTCTTGGATGTTTAACAACCATACTTTGAGGCCTATACTAAGCTGGTCAGAGGGACTTAAAGGACAGTTTTTGCTCCTTGCCCTCCAATGTCGACTAAGTTCCAGGGAACTATGGAGCATCTCTCAAAATGTCCTATGACTGTGGTGAGTCACCTGTCCTCTTAATCAAGGAGGCCATAGAAACCCCACCAGATGGACTTGAACCAGTGTCCAGTCTACAAAGAGGAGGGTCAACACAGAGGAAACATTTCCTCCATGCTTCCAAGTGAAGCCAGCCACACGATTGAGCAGGACCTTTGACTTATCTTCACATAGATGGAACTGGTAAAAGAAAGAAGCCCGAGGCTCCTCGTAAGCCCATGTGACCACTGAGGAACAGATCCTCAAACAACCTTAAGAGTAAAAATAAATTGGTTTATTTGGCCAACTGTATGGTCTTAAACACCCAAAAGGAAAGTATAACCAAAGATTAAAGCGATCAGTATAATTCTTTAAGAGTCCATTTATATAGCTAAAGCCCTTTCCAGTCAGCCACATGCTGACATTTCATCTACTAGAGCTCTTGACTGCCTAGAGCTCACTGTCAAAGCCTCCACCCTAAACCAAGATACCATCTTCTCTGGGCTGAAATTGTCCGTTAACTGTTCTCGTTGCCTTTATTCTTATTTCACACCCGTTCCTTTACCCACAGTGAAGTCAAGGTAATTTAAGCAAACCTGATCAAATTACTTCCTTAGTTAAAATATGGTTCAAATGACTGGGAGCACTGATAACACAGTGGACAGTAACAGGGATGACAGAGTGTATGGACTCCAGTGGCAGGGGGGAGGCTATGGGAGGCCTGCCATTTGGGAAGTGGGTATATAGATGAACAAGATTGTTTGGGATATTCTGTATGAAATACACACACACAAAAAATCAACAAATAAAAAAAAAGAATTATATTTGAGGAAGAAGCACAAAGATTTGCTTCATGTTAATTAGTAGAGGTGAAAAACATTACCATTGAAATCTACCTGATGACTCTATAGACATACACAGGCACCAAGGATCCAAGTGCAACAGATTATGACTAGTAATAATCAGATACATACAGATTAGAGATGCACGCGCCAACATCTCAGTGTTAGTAGCAAAAACAATGAGTCTTCTGCAAGGAACAATATGTTCTAAAATCAAATGGAGATCTTTTTTAAAGGTTAAAAACTCATCTAATGTTTATGTCTTACAGGGCTTACAGTGAGTTAAATAATATATAACTATATTAATTCAACTGTGAACCTAGAAACTTTCACCCACTTGTGAAAGAGATGTACTGTTGCTCTGGAACGTGTTACCGAGTATGTTAAAGCTGTAGTGAAAAGCTTCTAATCATGTAGTTATTACCCCAAGGCTTTCACATCCCTAGATAAATGTAATTTCTTACTATGTGCAAAATATGGATCCTTAAATTTACAGACAAGCATCCCAGTTATCACCCATCAAACAAGATTTTTAACACAAAGCTTTTTAACTACTGAAAAAAATTGTTGATCCATAAAACCCAGAACCCTACCTACATCTTCAGGAAGGAAGGAGCAGTAAAGATATTCTCAGCTGACTGGTGTGGTGGTTCTCGACTTTAGTCCCAGCACTCAGGAGGCAGAAGCAAGTGGACCTCTGTGAGTTCAAGGCTAGCCTGGCCTACCTAGTGAGTTTCAGGATTACATAGTGAGACCCTGTCTCAAAAGAAAAGATAGATCATATTATGTCACTTTCTGATTCAGACACCTGTAACTATTTCACAAATTGGAGTAAAAGTAGACATTTGTAACACGGCCTGCTGGACTCTTGATAACTTTGAACTGACCTTGAAGTAACCTCTCAGACTCCATCTACAGTTCCCACCCCCTTCCTTCCAAACCCTCAAAGCTGCCTGAGCCTCTGCTGTCCCTGAAACACATTATTCTCCCAAAGCCTTGGCCTTCCCAATCTTTCTTCTTTAAATGTTTTGCAATCTTTAACCATACTCAATTCATTTAATTCCTTTGGTAATGTGGGGTTGTGAATGTGACTAAAGTATGCTACATACATGTATGAAAATGTCATAATAAATCCCATTATTTTATAGAATTAATATGTGCTAACTTAAAAGTAAAAGCCAGGCCTGGTGGGACAGGCCTGTAATACAGCTATTTGTAAGGAAAAAATCAGTCATAAATTCAAATCCAGACTGAATAACTCAGTGAGATTCT